CTCTCTCTCTCTCTCTCTCTCTCTCTCTCTCTCTCTCTCTCTCTCTCTCTCTCTCTCTTCGTAGAAATCTCCAAGGTTTGCATCGTATGTGCACTCTGTACACGACGATTGTATTCTTAGTTCTTTTATTCATCGTATTTATATTTTACGATAGAACGGAGAAGTTCGTCCTAGATCGGTGCTGCCTGTCAATACGTGACTTCGCATTATGCTTCTTGCTCTTTGCGGTCCTTACGAGCGTGATACTGGCTCTTATGACTGACCAGACTGTTCCTAGATTTGTAACTTCTACCGCACTGATCACAAGATAAAGATTGCGGCACGTAGAAATGCGTGTCAGCCAAGTGTCTCTGCAGGGACCAAGCGCGTGAAAAGGTTTTCTGGCAAAAATTGCAGTAAGTGCGATTCGTGGATTTACGATCCGACTCATAATAGGCGCGCAACGATTGCACGATACCGTTTTGTGATCGTAACCGTGGCAGGTTGAATCGTGACGGTGCGTCATTATTCGAAAATCTTCCGGACGTTTGCGGCTGCTGTTTATCTCGAAGGTCATCGTGACGATACTCGTGCATCGAATCAAGATCCGTATGGCTCTCGAGTGTATGATTCGACAGTAGACAGGATTCAAGCTCGACCATCCTCGGCGAGATAGGCTCCGATTTCAGTACGATCTCCATCTGATCGTTAATGTTGTCTAAGAGATCGATTATCGGCAGCTCTTGAGGCTGCGATTGCACCATCGTCTCGTCGTACCGATTTGCGCTTGTATTTTGGTTCGATTCCTGTACTTTTCGTTGGTATTCGATGTTGATAGTGGACTGCCAACCCCCGTCCTCCTCGGTGACCTCCTGGTCTGCAACCAAAGAGGAGGGGGCTGAGTCCAACCGGATTCACGCGACATCATTTAATACCATAACGAGCAACTTTCAGTAAGAATATATTCTCTCTCTCTCTCTCTCTCTCTCTCTCTCTCTCTCTCTCTCTCTCTCTCTCTCCCCTCTCGCTCGCTTTCTTTCCCACTTTCACACACTCTCTTTCTCTCTATCTTAATGTAAGACGCACGATTTCTGAAGCTGATTCTCGACAGAAATGAATTGAAACGCTGTTACTAAAATTGGTAATGTCTAACGATATGTATTCTTAGCATAAAGTCGACGAACAAATGAAAGCGACGTTTTGTCGTTACAAGACAGCGCGAGAATCAGTAAATCTAAACCACATTGACTTGAGAAAGATTCAAACTGGATCTGTTCTCGAATTGGCATACAGTCTATTCAATCTATTCAATTTATTTAACGTTATTTAAAATTAGACTCCTATTATATTTGTAATGTAACGGGAAAGAAAATGTCATTAGAATATGTCATATTAAAATTTGAAATTCTGCTCTTGACGGCGGAATTATGGAGTTAAAAGACTAGACAAGGAAAAGCAAATACAATTATAAATGAAATCCAACGCAATATATCGACGCAACTGTAAAATGAATAACGCGAAGGGTTGACTTTACATATCATCGCCCGCGGGCGGGACGCTT